TCTGAAGTTATGATCCAAAGCAAAGAGAGAGAAGAACAAAGCATGTTAGATTGTAAAAAGAAGAGTACTGTTTCACCAACAGCTGAGATTTTTAAGAGTGCATATGTGGATGGTATAGGCTGGGCTTCTCAGGTAAACACTATCTATTCCATCTTACGTCATTGCTCATCATTATTTTAGCTTCCTTTTTACCTATTTTCATTGGTTATTGTAATTAAATTGTATTTTTTATTGGTAATTGTGCTTCAGCTGATGAGTGGAGGTATCTGGGTACAGTACAGTGATGGATCGCAGCTGATTATCAATGCCTCTGATGCAGTAAAGTACACTGATTGCAATGGGCTTGTTACACAGTAAGTTATCTGTAATTAAAATGACAAGAACTTTCTTAATACAAATATTTTGACAATGATGATGGACGATGGATTTCATCTGAAATATTTGTATTAAGAAACTTCTTGTCATTTTATTTGCTTCTAAAATCTTAGCTCAATCATTCAACATCTTTAAGTTATTATTTGACCAAATGCATTTCCAATATAAAGCCATCTTTGAAATGTCTCTAATGCTGCAACTCAGTGAAGTACTTTGTTTGGTTTGAGTTTAATTGCTGTTTTTATCTCTTTGCTTTTGTTCCACTCGTTTTAATGAAAGGGTCTAAATGTTATCATCTTGTCTTCCTCTTGTGCTTGACTTTTTCATCTTCCTGATAATTCAAATGAACTTTCAGGCGGTTGCAGATTTCATATCGTCCAACCTTTTATGATCACTCATCACTAATAATTATTATGCTCATAATTATTTTCTTGTCTTTAGGTATGAATATTCAGACTCACTGATTCCACAGAATGTCAAACTTAAATTCTCACATTTTCCACGCATCATAGAAAGCCTGGCCAAAGCAGCAAGAACAAAAACTTAGAAATGTCATATATACCGATAATGTAGAACATATCCATTGAGCCTGTGTTCAACAACCCTTAATTATGGATACTCTAGATTTTAATAAAAAACTGCTTGTAGATTTGTATTTTTTATATGCTTTGTAAATGAAATAAAATATATAACTATCACTATCTTTTTTATAATGCACCATACAGAAAAAAAAAACAATAACAATATTGATGGTGTAATGTCACTTCATAAGACAGGGATATTTGATATAAAATATCAATAAAGCAATGAATGATTTTAAAATTGTGATGATTGTTTGTACATGTCAGGCTTTTCCAACTTTTACCTTAAATGAAAACTCAACAAGTGATAAAATCATTGAACAGTTTTAACTGTTATGTTAAAACAATCATGGGAACTGAACTGAGTGGAGTGATTTTGACCTGAAAAAATGCCAACCAATATACACTAATAATTTATAGTTTATTCAAATTTAAAAAAAATAATATTATCTCAAACAATAATAATATTATAGTTGCCATATAGCATCCAATACCAATATTAAATATTATAGAGCAGAGTCACTTGAACCATGAAATAGAAACTAATATTTAGTAACTAAATAGGCACTATTTAGACACTATCACTGAACCAGAACAGCACAAAGAGATTACTTTGATTGTTAAAGTGTTCTCTTGGGTATTGCTTATTGGATCAAATATAGTGTTCTGGTTCAGTGCTAATGACTATTAGAAACTAATAGTGCCTATTAGTTAGTACTTTTTAGTTTTTATTTCATGGTTCATGTGACTCTGCTCTACATAAAATTTAAAAGTTTCAAACTTAAATTGGATTTTTAAATAACAAAAACTTTCCAATATCAGCTACAATGTAAATCAAATATTTAATAAATATCATAATGATAAAATTATATTCCATATTAAATAAATGTTTTCAAWAGTAGCCAGTAACTTCCAAAAGTGTTTATAGTTGATAACTTTTTTGCATTTCTTCTTATTAAATATGCAGCTGCAGAATGTTTGGCTACTTTTTTCAGGTCTGGTGTTTAATTTTTTGACCCACTGATAATACTAATGAACATAATATTACTTGTTTTGAGTTTGCTTTAGTCAGGACTTTGTTCTATTTTGAGATTTTCTGAGGTGTTCATCCAGAGCTTGCCACAGGGCAGTAATGTTTCCTGATCCAAATCCTGTTGCTCCAAACCGTTGAATTATCTCCATGAAAAAAGTGTTTTCTTCAAATAATGGCTTAGTAAAAATTTGCATCAAATATCTGGAAAAGGATAGACTTTAATTAATGACCTACTAAACTATCTGACTTAGAACGGTTTGTGACGACCAGAAACAGTATTAAGACTGCATTGAACATAATAGAAAGTTTCATTCAACTTCATAATCCCTACTTTTTTGTTGTATTTTCATCTTTGTTGGTAAAACTTTCAGCATCCAGCAAAATTCCTTGACTTCGTAGACTCTGTATAGAATGACCTGCACTACAGATTTCTCTTATTTTATTCGGCTAAGAAAGGGAAAAAATACATAAAAAATATTACAAAACTAGATACCTTTAAAATACTGCATGTCCAACAATAGGTATACTAGTATGTGAACCTAGTAGTATAGACAAAATGGTGCAACAATAACATACTCATACCTGATTATAGTATTCCAGTGGTGGTGAAACAAACTCCACRCCATTGTTTTTGAAAGTCTTAATTGTACTGACCATATCTGTACTGTGTAGTCCTATATGTTGCACTCCTGGTCCTCCRTGTTCTTCAAGGAATGTTTGAATTTGATTTGGAGCATCTGTAGACAAGGGTAAAAATGTTAACAAACAAAACAGCATTCCTGGTAATGACCAAGAAACATACCTTGACCAGGAAGTGCCTCTCCAAATACAAATTTGACATTATTCCTGGAATCATCAGAATTAACTTCAATACCAGTCTCTGAACACTTCCAGTATTGCATYGCAGAGAGTTTCAAGCCAACAAAAGAACCATTAACRAGGCTTGATATTGTATAYCCATCATCCACTTCATCAGGATTCACTTGAAATCTTTTAAACCCTAGACACTTACTATACCAGTCAATCATTTGTGAYGATGTACCCCTATGGCAAGCAAATGCAATATGGTCTACATGTGAAATCAAATCCTCATCTGAATTTCCWGGAAATTTGTTTGGTCTGACGTCCAAAGTTGATGTGGTCGCAGGACTGAAGCCAGGAAGAAACAATCCACTATAGCTGGAMTTGTCAATWAAGGTATGAAGCACGTTTCCACAAGGAGATTGAATTATTGTTGATATAGTATGCCCATCGAGGTCTTTTGATATTTTTGGTGGAGAAATAATTTCGCCACCATGATTTTGAATATTCTTCGTAACTTCACTTACATTTTTTACTTCAAACGTAATGTTGGATACTGTATCTTTGTGTGTTTGGTYTTCTTTCARAACAAAATAAATAGAATTTCTTTTAAGTGCAATWCTTGTCGGATTAAAAGCCTCAGCAAATGGTTTAAAACCAAAACCGCTGCAAAACTGTCCCATTTGTTTTCGTATGTTGTTGCATAAGAACTCCACATGGTGCAACTTTACCACCATCTTGCATGGTATGAAATATCGRCATTAAAGAAATCTTCAAAGGTCASTTGTTAAAATCTCAAAATTCTATCAAACAGCTGAGAAACGYCTAGCACTCTATAACTTGTTAAGCTGTTATCTCGCTAAATTCTAACCGGTGCAGGTTTCGCTGAGGACAGCGCCATTTTGTTGTAAACCAGAGCCCGCGATCTTTCCGTATAGCTGTAATAGTAACACAGGTATCCCAAGGTCAATTAAGTGGTTGAAATGGTTGAACGGATTAGAAATCCTTTGTTGATTCAACCTTGATGTATATTGAAAAATAAAAATTTATCGTAGTCACAATGTTTATAGGCCAATGTTTTGGAACAAAAATGGCGGATTTGTTTTGTTTTGTCAAGAAACTAATTCCACAATGCATTGCAAATCACCTTGGGTGTTCCCTTGGGTGACATAAAAGCTTCCAAAGTCTTTTCTACCTTTTGATTATTGGTTGTGCTCCTCTCTCATGAAGGAAGGGGAGAGGTTTGGATCTGATTCCTGTTGAAGCCCAAAATGTATTTGGGAGTTATCGATTCATTAACAGTTGTGAAATAAATTTTAGAACTGTAGAAAGTATGTTAAATAACCTACTGACATTTTGGATGTTAATCCTTTGTAGGAGTAAAGGAATGAAATGGTGTTAAAATTTATCTTATTTGATTTTCACAACTGTTTCTTTAGAAACGATGCAACTCACACGAGTTAACTGCTAGTTTCCATCATTCATTAACATTCCATCACTCATTATCAATTAAATTGTTCACTGTGCGTTATAATTTACTAGCCCATCTATTTAATGCAGTTGTTCAGACCAAAATTCAAACAAAACTTTGCATTGGAGGTTCCATTTCTACATACTTCTTCCTATCCTGCATCTTGATGAAGCAAACAAACAAAACATCTACAAGTTATTGGCATAATTATATTAATTTTATTATGTACTCAAACAAAAAAATAGACTAAAATGAAAGATCTTCTTCTGGGATATTTTCAAAGTAATCTTTAAACCAGAACACTTGGTCTTTCTTCTGTGCTACAGTCATATAAGGGTTTTGTTCTAAACCATTGACAACAAGCTCCATAAACATACGTACTGGTCCCTTCTTTGGAAAATTATCCAGTAAATAGCCGAGGAACACATGCTCCTCAAAACCTACATCTTTCTCCTCTACTTTACACACTTCATTATCAACAGGGAACTTCCACTGCTTGTCTGCTATTCCAATCAGTGTAAAAAAGTCATTTCTTTGGTCAAGAGATTTATACTGGTCTAACAAATCTGCATCTTCTCCTTCTAATAACTTTAGAACAGGAAGGGTTTCCTTGACATGCACATTATGACTTTTGAATATATCATCAAAACCTTCAAACCTTGCTCCTGATGCAAARGAAATGGGCCCAGATACTTTAAATGGGCTTGGTTGTTTTTGCATCATGAAATCTTTCYTAACATGGTTTCCAGATTGTTTCTGTCCACCCCATTTTTTAACAATACCCACGATGTCATCTGAAAGCTGCGAATGGGCTCTATCGACTTTGAGCTTGGACAAGATAGACTTCACACTATCATTAATCTCTGAGCTGACGGGTTGGGTACGATCTCTGTTGTAAATACTTGCCAGTGTATCCGGTACAGATTTATTCCTAACGCCATGTTTGGACTTTTTGGTTTTTACGYCTTTAGTTGAAGTGCTATATTTCTGTATGGCATCTTTTTGTACTGTATCATCATTTCCATCATGAACTGACTTTCTTGGCAAAACATTTTCTAGGGTGAMCTTTGTGTTTGTCTKTTTCAATGACTTCAAYAACATTGAAATTGACKTCTCTTTCTTATCATCACCATCCTGCTCAGAAGATAAGAAACGTAGATAACTTGCAGAGGCAGTTCTGTGAACTCCTTGCGTCAGGAAACGTCTTGAAAACACGCGATGGACGACAATCATGCTTCTGCTATACGTCCACCATATTGGATTACCCAGAATGCTTGAAGACCAAGATATCCCTTCATTCAACGGGGCCCTGAATTCAAGATGGAGACCAAAACAAATGCGTCGTACGATGAGTCAAACCAATTTTCAATTTTCCGAGTTTTCCTCAGCTGAGTTTACTATACTTTATTGATTGAAAAGTGAGTATTTGTGYTAAGTGAGGGATTCAAAATTTGAGTTTCCTTTTGAATTGAAATTATAATTTTAGAGCTCTCTGCTCTCCCTGACAACCGATCGAACCTAAAAGCTCAGATTTCATTTCATTCCTGCAGGTTTAATATAGTTTCTTTGTATTGCGGTATATTGTTTAGAATTTACTTCATTGTTCATCTGTGTCTTATTAACTAAACGATCCACAGACGAATCACAGTGTTKTCCCAACTCATCTACTACAATCTTGTTTAGAATGAGCGTTTCGCGCCAAAAATTTAAGTAATTCATTCCGGAACCGCCATATCTTGTATTTMCTAACCCCCCTGTCATTATATTATGGTACAACTGAAAATGTGGAACTACCCCTGAACATTTTTGGGTTACCACCTAAAGATGTCCAGTCTACTCWACCTGAAGATTCAAGTTTCAATCTATACCCCTGCCCTGTCAAAGATATTTTGGAAGAGTAGGYTTTTAAAATGAAAATATTCATGGGGAGGTGTTGTAAGAAAGTTTARTGATGTTTTCACAATATAGCTCTTTAGTAATTTAATATCTTTATGATATAGTGAGTGCTGGAAGAAATTTAAGACCTGAATCAACTTCCTACAATGAAACTGGAATACCATGGTATGTACTATGTTAGGTTGGGATGGCAGGTTAAGGTCATGTATAGTGAAGTAATGAATGATCATTTAACAGAAATATCTTACCATGGTATTGGGCTATCAAGAGCAATTTTGTTATGAATTTCTGAAATGTCTGATGCATGGGACATTACCTAGCCTGAGTATCAGGCTCTCTCRAAGGGGATTGGGGCTGAGCAACAAGGGAGAGAAAGCCTGACACAATCTTCTATCGAGAGCCGTGTTTTGCGGCCGTTTCATGGCCGAAACGCTGATTGGTCTACAAGACAAAGGAAGTGACAGGAATTAAAAATTATATATAATTATTATGTTACCAAATGATGCTAAGATTGTGGATATAAGTTTGGGAAAGCTYTAAYAGTACCCYGGTYCCAGAGGCTTGTCTTTTATTCTTTTTTTTTTTACTATGTTATCAAGCCATTSTTGAATCGGTTTGTTTTTACACGTACAAAAAACAAACCGATTAACRAAAACATTTCATAACACTAACACACTGACCTATAACGAAGTAAAACTATGCAAGATTATAGTGATCAATCCTCTAGAGCTTATTAGACGTCCACAACTTGAGAAGCTGGTAACAATTGSCATAAAAGCTGMAACTTTTAAAACCATGTAATAGCCAAATTTTGACATATATAACTGMCACATCTCGAAATCCAGCAAAYCGGAAYAGCTTTTGATCGGCTTAAATTTATTGTCATGCGTCACGCATTGCAWTGGGTGGAACRGCTCTTGATAGAAGATTGTGTMAGGCTYTCTCTCCCGTTTCTTTCYGCTCCAATCCCCTTCAAGAGAGCCTGATACTCAGGCTAGACATTATCAATGGGACTCTAAGGGTGTTTTCTTACAAAACAGAGATTTTMATCAGTTGTATACAAGACAATTATTGATCTTGATAATTAAAAATACTATTCTCTCTTCCAGTGGTAATCCCTCTAGATATMAAAGTAGAGGTGTGATCCGTATGAATGCTAAGGATGGTACTCCTTTTGCTGATCAAAGATCTGATCAACCTGGAGAAGGAACTGTGTCAGAAGCTGAGCAACAGCTTAAAAGAATGGTGCAAAACCAGCTTGATACTAGTTTATCACTTGAAAGGTACAAACAAGGAAAGCCAACAGTCACTTTTTAAATACTATAAGATACTTTCACCTTCCATCTCTTTACATTGTTTATGGTATTGTAAATTTATTTGTAAATGGGGTTTTTCTTATAGTTCTATATGTAAAGTACCAATGGGTATGTAAGGGGTGTCTAATTTCACAGTTTCAATAATATTTTCTGATACATTTATCATTTAGTCAGAAGGCAAAACAAAAGGCATTTACATCTTCAGCAAAATACAGAGGATTTGATCCAGARTCAACTGGTACATTGACTTTGAAAGATTACAAGACTTTAGAAGAACGTAACAAGTATATTGAACACCTTGAGATGTATGGACTCACTGATGATGAGATTCAATTCAAACTGGAACATGAAGGGCTTACACCAAAGGTATTTGATATTATATGTCATATTCATTGAATGTAGAGTATTATTATTGAGCTTTATATCAATGCAAAAGTTCTAATTCAAGGATAATATTATTGACAATTATTTAGCAATGCTCATTCATTGTCTTGCTACCTTTGATCCCAAATGTAGACATCCTGACYGTAATTCTGTATTTTTTGGTAGGCAGCTAAAAAGTCAAGGTTTGGTGCCAATCCAATGGCTGAGGCAGAAAGGTTGACAAAGCTACAACAGAAAATAGAAGAAAAGRAGAAATCTCTTGCAAAGCCAGATACCTTTTCCAGTGTTCAACATTTAAGCAGACATGCTATGGAGGTAGAGATGTCCCTTAACAAGGGTACTGAGAAAGCTGATAGCCTTAAACATTTGGTCCAACTTGGCCAATCAGGTAAAGGATTATTGGTAATTCCYACTKKGTAGCTGAGGGKAATGAGCTCTTAGCAACAGYTGTATTATTAAAACCATTGTCTTTAGTTCCTTCAAATGAGGATGAATTATTACAAACGATTCTTGGAGATAAACGATTTTCAAGACCACAGTCCAAGACCAGCTCTTTAAGTAAAAAGGGAGAASWTAGTTCTATCACTGCAAAGTCTGCTCAAACTTCTCAAGGAAAAAATGTTTTAGCATCAAATGAAACAGCTGAGACAAGATTTGTGGAGTCTGGTCAAGATGGAAGGCTGTCACTCAACCGTGTTGTTGTTTCTATTCCTGAACAAGAAATAATAGAAAATAGACTCTCAGTAGAGGAAATACAAGAAATACCAAGATTCAGTGGCTATAAACCAGGGAATCCCAGCAAGGTAACAAAAATATCATAATATTATATCATCTAGTAATCCCTTGCATCTTTTTTCCATCACACACTTTGTTCTTTACACATTAAATTAAACTAAATCACATTTTTAATCTGTTATGGAGCTGTTATTGCAAGCACCGACAATAAAAGTCTTGTCAGGAAAAAATGTTACAAATCATAATATAAATAGAGGATATTAGATGGGTGCGCAGTGATACGGATTTTATCTTCTCATGTCGAAAAGATCTCTCACGAGTGAGCATCTCCAAATTACCATGTAATATTCTGTTTATCATATAATTACATATGAAAGCAAATTATGTCGTTATACCTTTTTTCTTACTTCCACTATATGGAGAAACCTCGAATGTGTTATTTTCACTATTGAAAATATCAAATTTACGAAATGGAAAAATATATGTATTTTATAGATAATTATATGATAAGTACTGATCTTAATCACTTGTTTGTCTGACAGTCAGTATTACGGATTGGTCGAGATTCACCGAGCAACGCCTCATTTTCACGTTAGATCGGATTTCGTATAATAAAGTGTGCAAAAACTACGGTAATATACTGTGATGTTTTCTCAAATCAGTGTATTCTATGTTGTCGATTACCAGCGAGGCTACGTGACCGAAACATGTCGTGCTTGCGTGAATAACGTCATTTTGTCTTCATCATGACGTCATTCTGCCTTMACGTTCAGCACCAGTAAGTCTCATGAATCAGTATTAATAAGTTTGATTTTAAGCGTTGATCWAGAGATGATAAGATGTTCCAATATTCCTGGTGTACTGACTGCTCGCCAACCTCAGCTGGAGATTAGCTTCTTAGCTTGACTGATGAGAGTAAAAGAGTCATTAAAATAACTTTCTTGTCGTAGAGAGGAAGGCTCATGAAGGGACGCGTCTAATAACATTAACTTATCCTCATAATTGTTGCTAAACCAGGAATCCTATTCCCATTCGGCCCAGTTAAAGCATTTTATCTCAGTTTTCACTGTTCCGCAACCTTAAAATTAGGTAAATCTAAGCCTGAAAGACCGCGATACGAACCTGACAGCGAAAAAAATAACCCGTACTTATATGTTTATGAGTTACGTAAATAACGCCATGTTTCAATAAATAGTGCAATCATGTTACGAGTTTTTATTGATATTTTGCGCCCTATGACTATTTGAAGTCAAAAAATGGAAAATTTCAGCAATGGATTTGAAGACGTCTGGAAGAAAGCAACAGAAAAATTGATTTTTTAACAATCAACAATTTTCTTGCTTTCAGTTTAAACATAGAATAAAAAATAAGTGCTTCCTTTTTACAATGTGTGAATATAACTCGTCAATTCTGGACGAAAGAGCTAGTATCTTTTCGAGAAAAGTATTTTACATACTAGATAAAGTTTCCTGTCTCAAGTTAAAATTATCGCAGCCAGTATCTTGATTTGTTCATGATTTAGCCTAACTATTTTCACTCTATGTATTATTTCAGAGTCGAAATGAAACTCTCACAACATGAAGTCTGTAGATTATTATTATTATATTCAGACAAATCACTTGTGCTGCCTGGATTATGGTTTAGTCAGTCTGATAATGTGTTCTTGATGATTAAGACTCTTGCCGTTTTGAGGAGCGTAATTTTCTCATATTGGTGCTCAAAATSTCTGTTAGTATTTCTATTTGGCAGTAATCCATTCCCCTGACACCCCTTTTGTTAGTAATTTAGATAGATACATGCGTCCAGGTACAATAAGTTGGATTTTTAAAAAATCTCAATGAAATAAGRAGAGTTAACATAAACCCTAAGTCTACAACCCTACTCAGAAGCATGAASAACAAAAATAGAACATAAACATTGCTG